ATGCAAGACCGATGGTTGGGTCCCTGCTGCTCTCATTTTCGGTTCATCTCCTATACATCTCTACTATGTGTGTATATATATATGTTTGTCTACACATTGTTATATATAATGTCTCATCATTTTTCTGGACTTTTTGTATTTAATTTCATGAGATTGTGTCGGTTTCTTCAATGAAACGTGAATTTTATTCATTCATCCATTAACGTGTATATACCTTAGAGATGCGTTTTAATACGTAAATCTTTGTCTTGATGTCGTTTCCATGAGCCACAAATTGCAGTTTGAAAATAACAGTACATATTCTTCATGTTTAGTTGCTTCCTATCTGTAAATTACATAATTCATAGAAAAAATAATAGTTTACAAATATCTAAATAGAAGAGACCTTCGAGAGAAAGTTGAAAGTTCTTAATGATTGACTTTCCCATATATTCTTTTGGGTGTCTTCATTATAAAAATAATTACAATGTACAAATAAAAACAAAAAATAGATGGATTTTAACGTAATCCAACACACCACAAGACTGGAACTTCAACAAAACAACTTTTGAAATATTCAAATTAATAAAATGATCAAATTTAGTTCCAACATACATAATAAGTCATATTTATGTTTTTTGGTTAAGGTTAATAAGTCATCATATTTATAATTCATATGAAGACAGACATGCCTTACATATGCTCAAACACTATCCAATATGCATGCATGCATACATACATATGTTAAAAATGTTTATTAATAAAATATTGTTTCAAAATTTTATTTTATTTAATTTTTTATTGTCGTATCACCTTAAAATATTTTTGTGTTTATTATGAAATAATTCAAAACTAAGAATAGAGAAAATGAAAATTGTAAAAAGCTTTTTTGATGTTCTTGCCCGTTGCCTTTTTCCTTCATCATTTAATTTTCTTAATAGAAAGATAATTTAGTTAAATGAAGTTTAAATTCATTGAATATTAATTATTTCAATTTAAAAATTCTAAACTATAAAATGGTTGTAATGTGTTTTCGATATCTCACCAACATTACCATTACAACAGAGGACAAATTAATGTTTTAAAGTTTTAATTTGAGATTACATAAATTTAATATTATACCAATGTTTTATTATAATAATTCATGTGTATCACGCGAATTAAAATACGTATAGAATTTTAAAAAATTTATTATTAGATTTAAAATTAAATATAATATATTTTGTTTTGATTTTATATTAATTTATATTTATATTTTGAATAAAAAGTTTTTTTAATAAATATGAAAATATCATGATATTACATTTTTTTTTTCAAAAATGAATTGTCAATAGTTTCGTGAGTTGTAATATAGAATCGTGGGATGAAATACAGAATATTGAAACAATATTTCTATATTTTTTACTACTCGAGATATAGTTCTATTTTTAGTGTATACTACGAGTGAAAGGACATACGAGACTGTCCTACTAGAATCTGAATATGTATGATAAATTACGTTTTATTTGAAACTACAACCCCTATCATACATGGTTTAATAGATGATGATAGAAGTTTCATGTATGAAGAACTAATTCAACTCATTCATCGTATAATCGAATATCTTAAAACATGTCGTGAATGATTAAATAAACCAAATTGTAATGATAAGAGCAATAAAAAATAAATTTAATAAAATACATGTCGAACTAAATAAAATATTCAACTAAATGACAATCTAACTCATATTTATTTAAATTAAAAGTGGAATGATTTTATACGGGTTGTTGAATTGATATTATTGTGATATGATAAAATATAAATAGAACATAAATATGGTATAATCTTCATTTTTTTTAAAATTCATCAAATCTTATTTTGTACAAAACTAAGAATAGAGAAAATGAGAATTATAAAATTCTTTTTTGATGTTCCTGTCCATTGCATTTTTCCTTTATCATTTAATTTTCTTAATACAAAGATAATTTAGTTAAATGAGATTTAAATTCATTGAATATTAATTATTTCAATTTAAAAATTCTAAACTATAAAGTGGTTGTAACGTGTTCAGATGTCTCACCAACATTACCATTACAACAGAGGACAATTTAATATTTTAGAGTTTCAATTCGAAATTATATAAATTTAATATTATACCAATGCTTTATTATAATAATTCACGTGTATCATGTGAATTAAAATAAGTATAGAATTTTAAAAAATTTATTATTAGATTTAAAATTAAATATAATATATTTTGTTTTGATTTTATATTAATTTATATTTTTGAATAAAAAGTTTTTTTAATTAATATGAAAATATCATGATATTACATTTTTTTCAAAAATGAATTGTCACTAGTTTCGTTATTTATATTTTCGTGAGTTGTAATATAGAATCGATGGATGGAATACAGAATATCGAAACAATATTTTTATATTTTTTACTACTCGAGAAATAGTTCTATTTTTAGTGTATGCTACGAGTGAAAGGACATATGGGACGGGTCCTATTAGAATCTGAATAGGTATGATAAGTGACGTTTTATTTGAAACTACAACCCTATCATAACATGGTTTACTAGATGATGATAGAACTTTCATGCAAAATATTTATCGGATCGAGTGATTCTAACTCATATTTATATATAAAAGTAACTAAATCTTAATTTTTTTTAAAAAATACAATTGTAAATGCAAAGTGTTATATGATTTATATTATTATTTAAAACTATATTTATCAGACTATCATTAATCACATTTTTTCAAATACTCATCGATTTATCAAAAGTAAAAATATTTTATCAAATCATAAAATTTTTAAAGATATGGTTTCAATGTTATACACATAATACATGATTCTATATTATAATCCACAAAATTATAAAATATAGAAACTATTCCAAATCTTTCTCCGAAAAAATACAATATTCCATTATCTTATATTTTAAAACATTATTATTTTAATTTAAAAATATAAATTATAAAATAAAAAATCTAATATATTTAATTCTGAAACTAATAACAATTTTTTTATAATTCATATATATTTTTAGTCCGAGTAATGTGTGCGGGTTAATAACTACGATTTTTCACATCGTGCTATCTCATAATTTTTTAAAAAAATATGAGTTAAACAATATAAAGTTATAAAATCAAAAACAAAATATATAATATATTTAATTTTATAATTGATAATATTTTTGTAAAATCTATTCGTATTTTTAATTCGCGCGATGCACACGAAAATATTTTTTAAGTGGAGTCAGCTCTTATTTTACCAAAAGTATAGCTCTTTTGTTGGGTTGTAAAATTTCTAAAAACATAATTCTTCTTCAGAAAATAAAATATCATGTTATATAAACACTTTAAAAAATTTCTCATTTTTTATATATGAATTATAAAATAAAAAAAATATATTATATTTAATTTTAAAACTATTAATAAAAAATTTTAAAATTTATATATATTTATAGTCCGCGCGATGCGCGCGGGTTATTACCTAGTGAGTTTCTATAAGAAACTTTTAAAACTTTGTGACAAAAATGATTATTTGATTTTGTTTATTTGATTACGGTAATTCGTATTCGTTTATTTTAGATTTTAAAAATTAATTAATTAAATAAATGATTATTTAATTTTAATCGATTTGATTTGATTCGAATATATCTAATAAAATAATTATCAAATAAAAATTGGTTCAATTATAATAGAAAATAAAACAAAATTTGAAACACTGTAGATTAAAAAAAAACATCATTTTGTTATATAAATCTCATTATGCTCATTTTTGTAATTATATATATTTTGATAGGTAAACAGTTATATTCGATTTATTTTGTTACGATTCGTTTATTTGGTCTAAGGTTAATTCAAATTCGATTGTCTCATATTTCAAAAATTTATAATCAAATATTATTTAATTTTAATCGATTCAATTCAATTTGATTGGAATATTAATCGGTCGTTCGGTTTTCGAATAACCGAACCCTTGCGCCGAAGTTTCGATTTCGAGTTCTCTTTTTTTTTTCTCTGCGAATTTTTCGGACGTGTTTTTCACCCTCAATGTTCCGACACCTGACTGTTGTCGAGGTCCTCAAACGGACACCCATGAAATCCAATTGCTTGTCCCAAGCAGTTTCAGACATCTCAACGGTTGCGCCGAAGTTTCGATTTCGAGTTCTCTTTTTTTTTTCTCTGCGAATTTTTCGGACGTGTTTTTCACCCTCAATGTTCCGACACCTGACTGTTGTCGAGGTCCTCAAACGGACACCCATGAAATCCAATTGCTTGTCCCAAGCAGTTTCAGACATCTCAACGGGAAAAAAAAATCTTGTTTGGATTTTGCTGTTCCGAGCCCTAACGGGCGTTTAAAACATAACTCCATTTGAATTTTAAAAAAAAATCAAATGAATTGAAGGGAAGGAAAATTAATTTTTAAATAAAAGGAAAGAAAGAAACCACAGCTGGCAAAATCTGACTGTTGGGGAGAGCTCGAGAAACCTCCATACAGTGTATATAACTCGTCAATTAGGCGAACCAGTCCAACTAGTCCAAAATACAACTGTCCACCCCTTTTCTCTCTCTCTCTCTCTCTCTCGCTCGCTCTCTCTCTCTCTCTCTCTCTCTCAATCGATCGATCTTCTCCGCTAGGTTTTGTCCTGAATTCTCTCCATCGATCGTGTCGGAAGCGAACTTGGGTCATCGTTTAAGATCGACAATGGCGCATGGGAAACCCAAATTTCAGTCGAAGGCGTAAAAGGCAGCTTTCGAGAGGAGAGTTCAGACACTGAAGAACAAAGCTAGAGAGCTCTCGGTTCTTTGCGATACCTCCGTCTGCGTCATTTGCTACGATTCCGACGGCCAACTCCATCACTGGCCGGAGAGACCCGAAGATGTCCGTCGGATCGCGGCGAACTACAGAGGTCTGAGCGAAGAAGACCGCCAGAAACACGCCGTAGATTTGAATGGGTTTTTGTCCTCGGAGGCTACGAAAGCTAATCGCGCCAGCAAGAAGCCGAGACTCGCGCCGGCTTACCCAGATTCTGATGGGACGGTGGACAATCTCTCAGATGACGAGCTTGGGGTTCTGCTGTCTCGAATTGACGCCAAATTAGTCCAATTTCAGGAAAGACAGAGTCTTGTGATGGATCATGGAGGAAGAACAGAAAAGGATTTCGAGGGTCGGAACGAAGATGTCGGATCGGAGAAATCGGCAACGGGCCCGCGGGGTGAAGAAAACACAGATGAAATCGACATCTTTAGGGGTTTGGAAGATTTGGATTGTGGGTTTCAAGGATTCGGCTTTGAGAGTTTCGGTGGTTCTTCGATGTACATTTGAAACTACACTGTATACTCAGACATGTAGATTTAGGGTTTACCATAGTGAAATTTCCCGTTTCTTCCATACACTTCAACCGCTCTCTGTAGATATGTATATGTTATTGATTACCGGTTTAAATTGACTTAACAGAAACCCGGTTAAAGAGAACCGACTATCTAGATCGGAATTTGGACACGACCATTAGTTTGTAGGATCCAGAGCTTATGTTACTGTAAGTTTCTTTCTTCTTACACTACTGCTCGTATAATATCAATTTTGTACACAACAAACTGAAGATGCCAAAATAATAATGGGGCTCATCTCCCAATGTTTGTCAAAAAGCCCAAAAAAAAAGGAACTTTTAAAAAAAGGAGAATACAAGTATTTAAATTTAAATAATGATTTAATGGTAACTAAATTGGGCTTATCCATGGTTGTTCTTATCCACCCCTCAAATGCATTTTCTGGGCCTGATCATTTGGAGTTGGGCCCACAATTAGGCCACTCAATTATTCACCAGTTGCTTTGCTTCACACGCATGATGATGATCCACGTGGCAATAAAATGTCCATCGGCACGGCATCCAACCCATAGTTTTATTGGCTCGCAATTATAGCCGTCCACGTAAGTCCGGCCAAATAAATTAGCATACGATGCGACCAGAAAAGTATATGACATTTGATTCTACGGCATGGTAATCTCCCAAATATAACATAAACTCTCCTTTTTTTGTACTATGCAAAAAAATTTACATTAAATGAACACATTTATTGATATGTTTTAGCCAATTTAGCATCGAAATTGTGCAGGTACATGCATTTTGGAATTCTATATTTATATTCAACGAAAAATCAATTTTATTATGAACCAAAGATTATAGGGCTATAAATACGCGGGATATCACATGTATATGGTCTAATATTTTAGTTCCCGATGTAAATCGAATCGTTATTTGTATACAGATTAGATTATAGGTTGAGAATCTGTCACTAGACGAAAATGGAAAAAGAAACCAATCCATTCACCCATTGAATATGTATTAGAATATTTGTAACAAACAGCGGATGCATTCAACATGAAAAATAAATGTCCTTCCACTCACACGGTTAACAATTGGAAGATTTTACGTCAACCCCACCTATATGTGTGTGTGTGTATATATATATATGTGCAGGTACATAAGCGTATACATACGAGCAAAACCACTATCTATAAAGCATAAGGAATATTGGGTGTGAAAAGGAAAAGAAAAAGAGAGATGAGGAAGCAATGGTGTTTGTTTGGAGTGGCGGCGGTGGTGGTGATGACGATGATGTCAGGAGTGAGGAGCGATGAGGTGTTCATAGAGAAGACATGCAAACAGACTCCGAACTACAACCTCTGTGTCTCTCTCCTCAAGTCCGATCCACGTGGCTCCTCCGCCGACACCACCGGCCTCGCCCTCATCCTCGTCGACCACATCAAGGTTCTCTCTCTCTCTTGTTGCTTGTTGAAATTGAGTAAAATTATTTTTTTTATTTTAAAAAAAAAAATTTGTACGTAGGCGACGGCGACGGAGACGTTGAAAAAAATAAGCAGATTGTACAAGAAGAGAAGGGAACTAAGAGAGCCGTTGGTGTCGTGTACTAGCAAGTACAAGGCGATCTTGGAAGCCGATGTTCCGTCGGCGGTGGAGGCTCTGTCCAAAGGCGTCCCGAAGTACGCAGAGGACGCAGTCGTCGACGCCGGCGTCGAGGCCTCCATCTGCGAGAGAGGGTTCCATGGGAAGTCCCCTTTGACCGCTTTGACCAAGTCCCTGGAGGATATTTCCGACGTGGCTAGGCCCATCGTCCGAATGTTGCTCTGATCCAATGGTAATACCAATACCCCCCCATCATCAAGCAAATCGTTTACCCCCCCTTGATGGTTGTTATGTATAAGCACAAGAAAATCGATTTAGTTCGTGGAATAATACACACATGGATCAAATCGGTTCTTAAATATAGCCATAGCTTTTGGAGTTTTGGTTATCAGAATGACATTATGCACGTAACCGGGGTATTTTCTGTACCGGTTTTGGTTAAGACGAAATTAAACCGGCAGTCAAAGTGAGTGAGGATATTGGGCTGGATGTTTCTAGAACAGGTTCACGGGAGTCAAACCAACAGTCACGGGGATGGCCCATGGACTCGCTTTTCCAAGAAAAAACATTTTCCAGAAATTATTATACTTTTAATTAAATAATTTAACTTGGACGTGTGTGAACGCATAGAGTTTGTTGGTCGGATACAAACAAAAAAGCCCACGGGTCCATTCATCCTTTAACCACACATATGACGTGGCTACGAAAATAAAAACAAATACACAAATTTGTATTTTATAGGCAACAACTTTGTAAAATAGTTTTCCAATTATCAGAGTGCATTATAGTTAGGGTAATCAAAGATCGGGTATCTCAGATTTTTAGAGTATTCGAATCCGAATCTGAATTTGAATTATTCATTTCAAAAGCTGAATTCGAATTCAAATCTCCGGATATCCAAACTATATTATCCGCAAGATAATTTTCGAATATCCAAATATTCGAATCCGACGAATTTAAACAAATTTTAATTAAAAACAAGTTTATATATTTTATACAAATAAACTAAAAAATTAATGATAAATATTTATACTAAAAATAAATAAATTATAAAATGATAGTTTTTTACATAAATAAATATAAAAACAATTAAATATTTATAGATATATTTGTAATTTTATAATAATTTAAAAATATATTATTTATTTTTTAACTATTCAGGTACCCACAGTTAATTATTTGATCTGAAAATATAAGTCTGAATCCGAACCCGAATTTTGGATTTAAACATATTAAAGAAAACTCGATCTCTATCTCGTTATACCACGGATATTCGAAATTCGGGTATCCGATCCTCTTATCAGAACGGATATCCGAAATTTGATATTTTTTTTATAATATGTGATTTGCCAAGAGTGAGTTTCGAGTATGGGTGGAGTCCATCCCTAATTATAATATAAGATGTAACATACCACACCTATTTTTTGGGTTTGGTTTCAGTGTTTTTTTTTTTAAATACTCACCAAACTTTAGATAGGAAGCTTTGTATTTGTCCTGAGTTTCAATTCATTTGTTATTGTCTTAAAAAACCACACCCAACGAACTATATAAATAATTTCGAACTCTATATATATATATATTCGATGAAATGACGGAACAGAGAATAAATAAGAATAAGCTAATATAAATAACTAGTACTATAAGCCTATACAGAACCACAAACATCAATCTCTAGCCCCCTTGTTTTGCACAGTCATCCTTCCACTCCACCATGTCCACACGTGTCGCCGCCGCACTCCTCCTCCTCCTCGCCACCTTCGCCCCGACGCATTCCTCCGACGACCTAATCGACAAAATATGCAAAACGACACCGTTCTACGAGTTCTGCGAGGCCTCCCTCCGGCCACTGTCTCCGGAGAACGCGACCTCAATCGCGGCGGCGATGGCCACCGTCGTTCTCCGGAACATGACGGATACCTTGGGCTTCATCCAGTCGCAGATAAGGCGGTCACGTGATCCCGCGGCGGAGCGAGCTCTGGCGGAGTGCGCGGAGCTTTACCGGCCGGTGGTTAAGTTCAACATCCCTCAGGCCATCGACGCCATGCGGCGTGGGGACCTTGGCTTCGCCGTTTATGTCATCGGAGACGCCGAGAAACAGGCCGACGCTTGTCAGAAAGGATTTTCAGCCGCCGGCGACGATGACGATGGCTCGACGGCGGCTCTCACGGCGAGGAACAAGCTCCTCAAGGACCTCTGTGACTTGGCCATTGCTGTCCTCAAGTCGCTTATGAAGGGTGGTTGAATTGATTACTTTAATTTTCTTAATTTTAAATTTTATGTAAATTATAATTTTGTAACGAGATTGGTGTGAGGGTTTTGTTCTGTTTCATATAAATATTAAGCTGATTAGCTGTGCCACATAATATATCAAGATTCTAAAAAGTTCTTGAACAGAAAATGTCATAAAATAAGTTTCGTATTATATTAGAAGGCAGGTTTTTAATTTTAAGCGATAAACAATTTATATTGTGTACAAATAATATATAAAAGTTTTTAACTGATAATAACTTAAAAATAATTAGAAAGTTTAATATTGCAATGAAAGGAAGGTCATTCAATAGGAAAAATGGTGTGGATTTATAATGTCACAACCCTGGTCACTATCACTGCATATCCTCCATTGTATATGGCCTGTATTTAGATGACGTGACGGGAAATTATTGAGACAAATACACGTGACATCACATGAGGGGGGTGAACATGTTCATTAATTTTGTACAGCACATAAGCCACATAGATTTTGTTTCAGATCTTACGTTGTCATATATATATTTCAATTTCAGTAATGCATTCCCAATCTCTCTCTCTCTTTTTTTTTTTAAAAAATATTAATTTACAATTATTTATTTCATTATACATTGAAAAGAAATAAAAAACGGATTTTTAATTTAGTCCCTCGCATCTTATTAGGAGAAAAAACAACCTTACTCGCATCCCATATTTCTCTCGTTATATAGTTGCCGAGGAGGCAACAGATTCCCCTCCCAAAATAAAAAGAAAAGAAACAAGCTTCCACAAAACACAATAACACATGAGGTGAACCGTCCATCTAAACCGGAAACGACTTGACCGTCCGGTACAGGATTGTCCAACGATAACCAAACGGTTTAAGCTTCAACCGCATTGATCCAAACCTGAACAACTGCAACTCTCTCTACCAAGCCCGTAGTTTTATTATTCATTTAGGAGAAACATGTAATGACATTTTCCGATTCAACCGCAAGAGAGAAGCTCCGTCGTCAGGCAAACTGCTATGCCCGAGCACGAGTCCGTTTGGTCCGTTGGCCGAAACCAAACCACCGTCGACCCTCACAGAGACCGTCAATGGAGATTTCCTGAAGCTTTTTGAAGCTGCATTCGATGACATTCCTGAATACAAAGACAATGTTCAACACAATACAACAATAGGGCTAAGGGAGGGAGAAAGTCAGGTTGAAATATAAGTGTGTGATCAAAGGCAATTAATTACCTTGAAATATAATGACGAAGCAGAAGATAATGGTTAAAAGGGTGGCGAAGGCGTTGCCTAGGGAAGAAGAAGAAGCGGAAGAAGCAGCCTTAGCAGCTTTCATCTTCTTCAAAGCTCGCATCCGCTCAATCCTAGCGCGCTTCAGCATTGCTAACTCTGCTATCTCCTTTATCAGTTTCTGATCCGCAGCATCCAGTGATGGTCCCCGAGGTGGTCTTGGAGGCTTTGACGCCGACTTCTTCCTTTTCTCCTTCCTTCCACTTTTCCCGCATCCCCCCGTTTTATCCGCTTCACGAGCTGCCTTCACCGGTGCACCCACCATCCCTTCTCCGGTCTTCACTTGTTTTTCTTCCCCAACCCGGCCCAGAAGCTTCTCGGGGGACTTTCTAGAACATTCATCGGATTCTAGCCCACCCGTCTCAGGATCAACCTCCAAATCTTTACTCATCGAGAGTTCTCAGCCTAATACTGCCGATCTAACCAGAGTTCCGAACCACGTCCCAAACTTTAGCACAACCACAGTTCCTCAGAGCAAAACCACTCTGAGCTCAATCTGGAAGACTTTTCAAGGCCCAGAGAAGAATTTATGCTGAAGAAACGTTGCCTGGCTACTTGGAAGTCTCCGGGTCAAGTTCATGTGCAATATTGACCAAGATATTTGATCACAACAGATACACATACACGGAAATGCGTGCACATATATATATATATATATATATATATATATAATATGTGTGTGTTTGTGGGTGCTGAATCTCTTGCTTTGCAAGGTTGTGCCTCTGCTCCTTTTATTAGCAAAAACGAGTGAACTGCTCAATAAATGGACGCCTCTTCTCCCTTTACTGGGCCACAACCTCCCGAGAAATGGTCTCAGATCTGCAAAAAACACAAACGGGCGATTGGTTACCAAAAGATTATCAAGGGTTCATTCAAAGTTTAATAAGAGTACTAACACACATAAAGCAGGCCTAGGGGCTGGAGGGAGGGGCTCTAAGATACTGGAAAAGTTCACAGATTTCGGGTAATGATGTGTTGATGAATCCGATGTATAGTGAAAAGCAATCAACCTTATAAAAATATTGATCCTAAATTTATTGACATGATCGGATAAAAATTGCATTTTTACTTTAAACTTAGAGCATAAAGAAGCAAGGGTTTCCTCAGCTTTGGCTCTGCCCTCAATTCGGGGAACATATTTTCCGAATGAATTAAAAAGAAATGACACCACAAATGAAATTAACTAGCAGAATCGAAATGAATCTCTCCAACGTCGAATCAAACGCGGAAGATAAAAATCCAAACAAAAGAACGACAACAAACCAAATGGGAGGGGGAAAATGACGAGGATACGACGATGTACGAAGATCGATCAAAAGGAGCCAAAAGCCAACGAATGAATCGGAGATTATTGCAGGTAAGAAGCAAATCGGAAGAACATTTTTTTTCCAAAATAAAAAAAGAGAGGAAAGATTACCTTGAAGCGAAAGGGAAGGAGACCCAGATCCAATGCCGGGGAAAGGAGCAGAGAGGCCGAGGAGAAAATGACGGGTTCAGACCGATTTATCTATTTATGCGATTCTCAATCAATTTAGGAAAATAATATTATGTATATATGTATACACACAATCACCAAAATCTCGTTTTCCTTCTCAAACTCTCGGAGGAGGGATTGAAATAGAACCAAAGAGAGATATTCCAAATGCGATTCTTGCTTTTATGATTATTATTATATAAGGCAATGATAATACGGAGTTTACGCGTTAATATAGTGAAATTTAAAAAGAGATTTGGTTTTGTGTTGGATTTTTATTGAAGAAGAAGGGACAGAAGATTTGAATTGAGGTGTGGGCTTTGGGCATGTGTTCTTCTTTAATATAACATGTGAGTTTCACCAGCCGCGAAGCTTCACCGACACTGCAGGATGGGACGTTTTCTCCCATTAATTGCGTTAATATCCCTATATTATACATTTCTTTATACTTTCATCCCCACATTTTCGTTTCGTCCCCACCCCAGCCCATGACTCCGAGGCCCGTTCACAGTATTCCCGTTTTCCTACAAGTGGGCCGTTCTCATTTGCTAAGGTGTGGGCCGCAACCTTCACCGGCTCCCGGAACCGCAACCTTCACCGGCTCCGATTAAGCAAGCTGCCCTTTCTTATCTTCGATTCTGCTCCCCCGTTTCTAGGGTTAGGGTTCTTTGATTTATCCGACTGTAGTTGCACAATTTGCTCAAATTCGAGTTGCTCAAGCTGGATAGACACCAAGGAGATCGCCATGGAAATGGCACTTACGACGATTCCTACCAGGACCACCACCGCAATCATTCCAGAGGCCCCGCTCGTTTCTCCCATTCCCCCGCCATGAACCGCTACGATGACGACGACGACGGTATCAGCCGCCGTCGCCGCCGTGGAAACAGCCCCAGCAGTTACCGAGTCGGAATCGACGGCGTTGCCGTCTCTGGTAGTCGTCGCCGGGCTTTTGAAAGCCCTCCGCGTCACGACGTCCCCGGCGCAGGACGTGGAGGTTTCCGGCCGATGAATGTTCCACCCGGTGGAGTAGATTTTCAGCGAATGGGTCCTGGCGTTATCGGAGGTTTTCGGCAAATGAGTCCCGCCGGTAATGGCGGGGGGCGGGGGGGG